GCGATGAATCAGCCCGACATTTGTCTTCAGTGTAGCTGTTAATGGTACTGACTGCAACAACAATCACTTAACTGAGTGGTGCAAGGTCAGTGTTGCTTCAGGATGTGTTTTACATTAATAGACTGCTTATAGAGATTACGATAGAAATGATAAAACGACCTTACAATAGCAAATAAACAGCTGCAGTGTTACACTGTAAAGCTCAATCACTCACTGGCCATTTCATTAGGTTTACCTCACATGGCAGCAACTCTGTCCATTTAGGCATGCAGACATGGTCAAGATGAAGATCAAGATCAGAGAATGGCCAGATTTCAATGGCCAAACTGATAGGAAGGCAACACTAACTCAAATAACCTTCTCTGAATGCACTACACCTTAACGCACATGGGCCACAGCAGCAGAAGACCACTGGGTGCCACTCATGTCTGCTATAAACAAGAAACTGAAACTAGAGCTCACACTGGCTCATCAAAATTGGACATTAGGAGATTGGAAAAATGTTGCCTTGTCTGATGAGTCTCAATTTCGGCAGCAAAATGCAGATGGTAGGGTCAGAATTTGGCATAAGCAACATAAAAGCATGAATCCATCCTGCCTTTTTTAAAAGATTTAGGCTGCTGAGTACCAACTGAGCATTGTTTAAAGACCACAGCCTCCACAGTGGCCACAGTGTACCCGTCTTCTGATGGCTACTTCCATCAGAATAACTCACAAAGCCGAGGTCATCGATTTTTGAACATGACAGTGAGTTCAAATGACCTCCACAGTCATCGGATCTCAATCCAATAGGACGCCTTTGGGATGTGATGGGACAGGAGATTCAGCCAACAAATCCACAGCAACTATGTGATGCTATCATGTCAACATGGACCAAAATCTCTGAGAAATGTTTCCAGCAACTTGTTGCATTTGTGCCACGAACAGATAAGGCAGTTCTGAAGGCAAACGTGGATCCAACCCATTACTAGCAAGGTGTACCTAATGAAGTGGTTGTGACTAGTCTACTGACTAGAGTTTAAACAATAGCAAATCTCACCAACAGCACTTTACTGTATTTTAACAGTGGAATTTGTTTGCTGCTGAAAACAGTAAAAATGCTCCTCAGAGCGTTTTAAATACAGGTACGCGAATCATTTCTTATGACATATGAAATAGAAAAGTGGACTCGTAATAATACAAATTCATTCATTCATGTGATTTTTACCCCATACTTTGTAATGCTGATAAATCACTTTGAGTTTTTTTTATGATATTCGTTATTTTAGACAAATGCCTTTTAGGAAGATTTCTGTATTTTAGTTGAGAACACCAATATTTTTATGTTTTAAATGTGCACATGTCGTACAGTGTTAGTGTGTGAACATAGAGGTAATGATAATGATGATGATGGTAATGATGTCTGTAATGGTGATGATATCTTATGCCTTACAACGGACTGATGTTCTCTCACATGTGTTTCTGTATGTGTGGTGCTGGAGTTTCTTTTCATAGATCTAAATATGAAACAATTTTGTCACAATCTTGGTTTTTTTTGTGTTTCTTTAGTGTGTTTAAGGGGGAACATTAAATAGATGTTGTGCTTTTTTTAAATTGTGGAACAGTATTTTTTTTCCTGCATGAACCTTTGGTGTCAAATGACCACTTGCATAATTTATGATTGTGGCTTATTTTTGTGGCTTTGCTGCGTCGGTATTAAGTAGTTTGAGGCAAAAGATATAAAAGTCTTGCAATTAAAAGTCATTTTAGTCCAAATATGGGAAACTTGTAACTGTATGGTGCGTGCTTTGTTGAATCAATATATGCCTCAGTCATTAACTACAATGACTTCTTGCACATTTATTAACTGCTTCCTACTAACCTAACAGAAAGACTTCTTGGTTATTCATCCTCTAAATTAAAGGTGTTTCATATTTGTGGAGTGTCTCACCTGCATTCAATCTGGTTTAATAGCTGCAGTCTCTGTTTTTCATCTGGAAACCATAAAGCAGCATTTATGCTTTACATTTTTATGTAAATAAATCATTTGTGGATGGACTTTCATTTGACTCGTATTTTTGAACACGTCTGCTGGTTGCAGACCGTGACATGTTTGACATTTATCTCCAGTATAAACTTGATTGTTGAAAGTCTGTTTCATCCAGAAACTGCAGTAATGTGCAAAAGTCTTGAGCAACCCTATATTTCTGTATATTTTGCCCCCAGACTGTCTTGTCATTTTTAAGACCAGTGGCTCGAGAACTGCTGGTCTTGAGCAATAGTTCTCCAGACTTATTTTCTCTCCCACTTATTCTCAGTCCAGCCTTGTACCTTACCATTTTCATCTTTATGTTTGATTGTTAAACCATTTACCATTGAACTATGAATCATTCAAGCATAAGACAGGCACCAACTAATCTGGGTAAATTCCCAGATGATTAAACATGCAACCATTTTGCTGGTAATAACTGAAATGAGTAAAGAAAATCAACAGCCTATTTATGCAAGATAATTCATAATTTTATTGGGGGGCGGTATATTGTTTGGGTCTGATTATTGGGGGGCGGGGGGGGGGGGGGTATATTGTTTGGGTCTGATTATTGGGGGCGGGGGGTCATAACCCCCCAAACCCCACTGGAAATTACGCCTCTGGAACCACTGCAATACCATCTGGAAACCTTTTTAGCATGACAATGATCTCAAACACACACATCATGACACATGACTATTGGTCGTGGATAGGCCTCCCCTGAGACCGGACCTCAATATTATTTAGGCAGTGTGGGAGCATTTTGGCAGACCAAAAGGGGGGTGCTCTAGCAATGTTACTAAAAATTAAATAATTAATTATTGTTGAAATTGCGCTTTTTAAAGGTATCTTTGGTTGGTCATCATCTGTTCAGGTTATTATAATTATTTTTCCTGGTCCAGCCCACTTGAGATCAGATTTGCTGTTTGTGGGCCAGGAGTTAAAATGTGTTTACCAAATATGAGGTAATTTAGAGTTTATCTGATTTAGAGGCTGAGATGTGCAGGTCTTGATTACTTCATAAAAATTAACTCCCATGTTGCTAAAAATAAATAAATAAATGTGTCATTGACCTTCTCCACACTTACGAGGACAAACCTGGTGCAAAAACACGCTGAAGAAAACTGGTAAAGGCTGTGCAGTAAGAGCAGTTTGGCTTTTTGATTGTACACAGGCTTGATTTTGGTCACCAAATAAGGATTTCTTACCCCTTGCTTTTTCTGACCAGATGTCTCTTCCACGGCATCCTACTAACACGCCCACCATCCTCTGTGTCATGTAAACACAGCCACAGTTGAGACAAATCTCTTTCAGCTCAGCAAGTTGGAGTGTCAGTACAGACATTCATGGCACTGGGATGAAGCACAGCACCTACGTGGGCTAGAAAAACGTCTTAATCCAAACATGGATGCTGGATGCCCGTCTTAACAAACTGCCACACAGCCAGGGTTTATAAAGTAGTTCTAAAAAGTATTTTGAGTTTGATAGACAGGATGTTCAGATAGATTTTCTAACATTATTATACAGTATTGTGTGAAAGCCTTGAGGCACTCCTAATTTTTTAACATTTCTTTTCATTTTTAAAGTGATCTCGAGCAATAGTTTTTAGGCTTACTGAAGGTATTTTTTTCCTCTGGACAGAACCTGAAAAATCCACGAAAAACGTCAAAAATAACACCCTTTGATGGGGATAAAATAGCCTTTTTGCACTAACAAGGCAGTTCTCAGAGAGCTGTTAGCTAAAAACTTATATATCTCGGCATGCCATGCAGTGTGTCCTTGAGGAAGCTGGTATCTGGTACAGGGCCCGAGCGATGAACTGGACCACTAGTTGATCCATCTACTGTTGATCCAAAATGGCCTCAGTGGAAAGGTGGCAATCAGGAAGCCACCGTCAAGAAAGGGAAACAGGGAGAAAGGCTGAGGTATTCCAGATTACACAAGAACTGGACTGAAAGTCAGTGTCAACAGGTCTTAGTTTTCATTATATCACTGTAACCATTTTCCTTTTTCTTAGCAAAACGTGCAGAAACAAAGGGTAGCTCAAGACTTTTGCACAGTACTGTTTATACAAGCAGACTGTATTTGACTAGATTTAATAAAATAAAACCCTGATCAAGCTTTCCATACCAATACTTAATTGTTGTATAATTAGTTTGACTATTTTCTAACACACAATAAATACATGCTTCAGGGTCAGAGGTATAATTTATGACCTTTCATGTGTGCATTTATATGAATCTCTCATGCACACACACACACAGCATTCAGTGTCAAGTACATGCGCCTGATTTAATCACTGCTGCTGTGTGTAATCTCTCCCGCCTCTGCACACCGGATATTTTTAATAAAGCAATATTGTACCTGCAGCCAGCTGAGTTCCATATAATTATCCGTCTGGCTTCAGGCTGCTTATGTTTTGTTTTCTCATCAGGATGTTGTTTCTACTCCAGCGGCTGACCTGTCAAGTCGCTGTGGGAGAACACGGCAGCGCCGTGTGCTGGATATTTAGTGAATTACATCAGGTTCTTCATGCACTTCACACTGAAAGATGAAAGCACTGGTTAACTGAAATTACTTGCAATAGGTTTGGGTTTCTCCAAACAAAAAGTATCACAAAGAGTGTGTCTATCGACGCCCACTCGCCCCAAAGCAACTCACCTCCCTGTGCGCAGGTAACAGCATGATTTATTTGCTCGGATATTTTAAGTGTGCGGGTTCACATCGTCTGAATATTTCAGCGTGCCTTCTCATTTCCCAGGCTCTGTGCCAGTTCCTCCACTGCTGGCCAAGACGTAGCTAAATAAGGAAGATGACCTCTCTCCCTCTACTGTGTTTTCACTCGTTTTCTCTTTTAAAAACAGATTACAACCTAACCGAGGGGCCAGCACACATCAAAATCTGGGTTATACACACATATGCCTGGGTAACAGTGATAACGTAAAGCAGGGACCACACACACACACATAAACCCACACAGAGACACCCCGACCAGAGTAGCTCAAACATTTACTCTTTTCATATATTTTATTACAACGTTCAGTTAAGAATGCATTTCGATTACAAAATTGAAACCCTCTGCTCAGTGATGCTTAATATGAAATATAAAGTAGAGATTTCTAGCTACAAACCATCTGCTAGAAACATCAGGCACCTTGTTTTTTTTCTCCCCCCCCCCCATTTTCACACCATATCATCATATCATCATAACAGTATTCACACAGCAGATCACAGAGAACTTTCACAGTCACACACCAGTTAGGAGGATTTTTCACCCAAGGAGGCGTGGAGAGATTACCGACTTGTGGGAGCGAGCCAAGCCCACAAGCTGATCTTGTGCGTTATCAGGACGAGCGCTTCCCATCCAGGTAGTTTGTGAACATTCAGGTCCAGTGTTTGATGTGTGAGCTATGACCTGTTTCTTCTGGGAAACATTCATTTCTAAGCAGAGAGCAACATGGATCCATGTGGTTTGTTAGTTTCTGACTGAAAATAAGGAAAAAAAACAATTCAGATTCAGGAAATCTGAATTATGTCTGACAGAATTTAAATTTTGAGCAACAATGATGCTAACTTGGCTAGTTAGTCCATATGAACACTGTTTAAAACCCAAAAAGAGGACAGAACCTATTTAAATTAGAGACTTTCATCCTCCTGTGAATTAAGCTTGACTTAATCTCATGCCCAAAACAATTTCCCTTAGAAGCTACAAGCTATAAACAACATCATTTAGTACTGTCTGGCTGCATTAATACACAAGATCCTGTATACTACATATACATATGCTAAAGTCACACATTCTTGTGTGTAAGTGCTGAGAAATATCACTTTGTCACCCCCTTTAAAAAAAAAAAAAAACTAAACTAAACAAAATGCTTGAATAATTCTCATCATCTCTATTTTTATTTTATAAAAAAAAAAGACTGTAATTATCTGCAGTCTGCTTTTAGACCAATACCTATTATTTATAGCCATAATATCTAATTAAATGTGTTTGTTTTTTTTTAAAAAAGAAGCAGAAATACCTGCATTGTTATTCTGGCCTAAAATGAAAGCTTAGTTAACGCAATGCAATGTTGTGACATTTACGGTAAAGAGCAAACTTTACAGTGTATCCCAAAGCTCAACAAAACACAGCAACATAAGATGCAAGAATCATCGTGAAATCATCAAGAGATGCAAATTCAACCTTTTTACACTCAGTTTACACCTAAAACAAGGCTGCTTCTCTCCTTCACTCTTGTCTCTTACAGCTTTTTTTCTTCTGGCCTTAAACGCAACACGCACACCATGTTGCTGCTCCCTCTTTCAAACCAAAAATGATGGGTGTTGATATGTATGCGGGTCTTTTCATTGGATGCCCAACACGCTGGCGCTCGACGACAGTTTCCTTCCTCCGTTTTGGTATCTATGGGCACTTTTCTGTTGGCCCCCTTCCCCCCCATCCAGTCCATCATAATTCCAAACACAGATTGGTTTTATGCCGAGTCAGACGGTGGCGTGCGGCCTTCCCAGTACTTCTGATACGACATTTCGAACATCTCCCTGCACTGCAGCTGAGCATTCAACCGGGAGCAGATGAGGAACGAGCCGCCCATCTTACGGTGGAGCGAGTATGTCTCCTCCGGGGGCGGGGTGAGCCGGTGTTTGAGCATCACGGGGATGAGGTTGTGGATCCTCTCGGTGGTGGACTGGGAACCGAAGTCGAAGGGCACCGAGGAGGCAAAAGCCTCGCCGAGGATCATCACTGCATCCACGTGGGCATTCACCATTGCCTGGACAACACACGTAAAAAAACAAAAGAACAAAAAAATTTAATAAACCAAAACACATGCTTAACACATTATGTTTGCGCACTTTTACAACTCTCATTTACTTGTTTATGGCTACTCCACAGTGACAAAGCCATCATTTGTAAAGCAGAGCAGGCAGAAAAAGCTCAGAGATCATTACCTTGGACTCGTAACCGGTCAGGAACTTCATCTCGATAGATTTCTTTAGTACTCCCTCCCTGTTGCCCATGGCAGCTGAACGGATTATCTGCACAGGACACACACAGGTCGCACATGTCACTCTCTTTTTCTTCATTCAAATTTAGATTCGAATCTCTTGCGAGGATTTGGGTTGCCATGAATAATTAGGGTCTTTTAACACCTTCTGATTTGGCATTAAGATCGAGTTCACCAATCATCAGAGGTAAATGAGTACAAGTGTGAGTTACAAAATGTCAACATCAGCGAAAAAACTAAGACGTACATCTCCCCTCAGGGTTTACAACTACTGGAGCTTTATGTTGTCTCGTCTCTGGATTACTGCTAGAAATATTACAGCTGCACCTGCACTGTACTGCCAAAAGGATTCGCTCATCTGTCTCCACATGCATATGAACTTGAGTGACAGTCCATTCTTAATCCATACGTTTTAATATGATGTTGGCTCCTTTGCAGCTATAACAGCTTCAACTCTTCTGGGAAGGCTTTAAGAGTGTTTATGGGATTTCTGATTTTTTTTTTTTTTTTTTTTAAAGATTTGTGAGGTCAGACAATGATGTTGAATGAAAAGGCCTGGCTCACAGTCTCCACTCCAATTCGTCCCAAAGGTTGTTTATCAGGTTGAGTTCAAGACTGTGGAGGCCAGTCAAGTTCTTCCATACCGCTCATCCATGTCTGTATGCACCTTGCTTTGGGCACTGGTGAGCATCATGTTGAAACAGAAGGAGCCAAACCCAAACTGATCCCCCAAAGTTGAGAGAATGAAAGAAATTGTTCAAAAAGTCTTGGCATGCAGAAGCATTAAGAGTTACTAAAGTCATTTAAGGCTTGACAATCTGAGATTAACATCCCACAGTCAGAAGATCAACACAGAAAAAGTTAGTGAAGCTCCATAAAGAGCATACATCATCACCATTCATGATAATTATATAGCAGCTGCCTGGTCTCACCTCTATGTAGACATCAGTGAAACATTGATCAAATCCTCTCGTGGCTCCAAAGTCCAACAGCGCCACCTAGAGGAGCACACGGCAGTTACCATTTCCCATTAACTGCCAACTTCATATTACTTATATTTACAGCTGAACAAACTTCATGACAACACACAACAGGTTGTACTGAAACTCACCCTGTGCGCCTGTGGATCATAGAAGAAGTTGGACCAGTTTGGGTCAGTCTGCATGTACCTGAACTCGAACAGCTCTCTGACACACAGAGTCAAGATGTTGAGGCAGATCTGAAAGAAAAGACAAAGGTATACATTCAATCTGCTGAAAAGAAACACATGCCAGATTGTACTCGCTTTTGCTTTTTTGTGGTGTTTAGTGTGTTGACTGAACTGGGATCCGCTAAGAAAGGAATGTCTGCAGTTGAGAAAGCCCCTCTGCACAAACTAACTTGTGTAATCATAACCATCCGTACCTCGTTCTTCAGCTCCTGAGAGAGGCTCTCGGCTTTGTCCAGGGGAAATCCAGGAACGAGTTCAGTAGTGAGAACATGGCGGCTGCTCAGCTCGTCTATCACCTCTGGTACGTAGAAGAACGGATGGTCCTTTAACAGCTCCCTGAGCCAGACATGAGCAGATACAAAAACACATGAAATACAACTTAAGAACACAACACTCCACATAGAGTGTTAAGTCTATATATAAAACTGGCTAGCAATCACAGTCAGCCTGACCTTGAACCCAAGCAACGGACATTTAAAAGGGGGGGTGGAATAAGCTAACTATATCTGTGTAACCCGAGTGTTTCAGGGGTGACGGAGAGCAGACTGCACAGTGCGGAGAAAGAACAGAAAGGAGAATCGAGCCATGATGTGAGCTCAAATACTCGATCAGTGCATCAGGGATTCTGTCGAGTACGATAGTGTGCTGTCACTGGCATGACAGTTAGGTCTACAGTCCACTTTATCCCAGCACATAGATTAATGCAGCCTTCCTTTTAACTTGGAAGTCAGACCTTGGAGCTGGGAATGACTGTCACACACGAGGTGACTGTGTTCCAGTGAGTACGAATACAGGCTCTGTTTTGCTCTGAAGCCAGGTGGCGCCATCACTAACAATACCTGGAGCACAATGCAATGCTGCAGCATGGTCGGTTCTCTGTGCCTCGCTGAATTAGAGAGTCACAAATACAACTGCTGCAGCTTTACTGCCATTTATCCTGCTTGAATCACGCAGTTGGGGTTGGTGGGACTTCTCAGACTTTTGTAAGTGGCAAGTTCCACTTGAGGGGCTGATCATGACCCAGAATTCAAGATTTCTGATTTCCCATTTCCAGTGTAATATAGCATTAGGCTCAGATTCCTGCACGTGAATTCATGACAGCTAGACCCTACACCTTTTATTTCTTAAAGGTTTAATCAGGTTTACATAGACTGAGTTTTAGAAATCCAGGATTTAAGATATGTTTATGAAATATGGAAACAAAGCGATAAGTTTTTCATTGGTCGGGTGTATTGCTAAATTAGTAGAAATTCAAATCCACTCAGAACCTCAAATTTGACCACAATCTGGGTGAAGACCTATTAGGTGATCACTAAAATCTGAGCAATGCCCCAGGAAAAGCAATTCTTGTAAATTGCCATAGCATGAGCTCACGAATCCTTTGGCCATATGAGCTAAAAATTATTTTCTTTAGTAATTTAATTAAAGGAAAAAATATTTCTCAAGCTTGGCTTTCAGATTACAACAACATTTGCTGCATAATACCTGAACTTCCTTGCACACTGGGCTTCTCTAATATAGTCACACTCCAGGGCTAGCTCTTTTCTCATGACATCTATCAGGTGCTCTGGAAACAGACCTAAAGACACAAACAAAACAGGACAAAAACATTGGGACTAGTCGTGGAAACAGTAACTCAGAAACAGGTAGAGAGAAGCAGACACAGGGAGATGAAGAGGATGCTGTGTGTGTGTGTGTGTGTGTGTGTGTGTGTGTGTGTGTGTGTGTGTGTGTGTGTGTACACACCTTCAGGCAGAGCATTGCTCATATTCAGCACCGTCATCAAATTGTTGACATCACTGTTGATACTCTGAGCCACACCAGGATACTGAAGACAACAGACAGAGAGAAAAACTTTCAAACACTTTGTTTAATTTGATCACACAATCATATTTAGTATAAACAGTTAGCAAAGCAATAAATCTATTTTATTCAGTAAAAGCACGAGATAACTGGCTCACATGTTCCTCTGTAAGGAAACGCATCCATCTGATAATCAGATTATGCGTTTCCTGTATGCATGCAAGTTTAAGCGAGTGTTGACAACACGAGGACGCAGTGTCACATGTTTTTATCCTAACCTGTATTTTCATGGCCACCTCCCTGCCATCCTTCATCCGTGCAAGGTGAACCTGCCCGATGGACGCTGCCGCAAAAGGGCGTTCCTCAAACATTTCCAGCTTGTCCCTCCAGTTTGGGCCCAAATCGTTATTCAGTGCTTTCTGCAGACAGACAAGAGCAAGTAGGATTTTAGCATCACTGGAAAAAAAAGTCTTTCAAAAGAGCCAGGGGCAGGAATCACAATGTAATACAACTTAAATCATTAAATAAAATATACGTTGCTGAGGAAATGGCATAACTATCAGTCTTACTGTCATTTGTTTGATTGGCATGAAGTCAGCACTCTGTCTCACACGCTCAAAAATCTTGGCAAGATGAGGATTGATGAAAGCGTCATCTGAAACATAAAAACATCTTGAGATCTTTAATTACAGATTAAGTTAAGTGGTTCTCAAACATTTTACCTGCCATTCCCCTCATAAAAGCTAAAAAACAAACCAATGAAAAAAAAAAAAATCCAAACATGCTCCTCTACCCACAACTTTGAGCAATCATTGAGCATAAAGAATGACCCCAAGTTCAACTCTTGTTAAATAAGGTCAGCGTGATAACATCAGCAAACCCATTTGCTTATTTTTTCACTACCATATTGCGTTGCATAACGCAACCTGAGCGGCACCATTACTTTAGAAAAAACCCCAAAAAACATGAACGACACACAGGAGTGGGTGCTGAAACACGTACGAAACAGGCACCAGGGCCTAATCATCAAAGATCAAAGTAACATTTAGACACTGCGTGATGCAAAAAAACATTCTCTCTCTCTCTGAGCCAGTGTGTGAGGGGCAGCTCTCCCGCTCTCTCACAGGCCAGTGCACAAACACAGATCCTGCTCTTAGTGACTGTAGTGCAGAACTGAATATGTGGATATGCCTCGCTACAGTCAGAGGACTCTCGTTGATTTAAGTGCAGCCGGTTGTGAGAAATCTGAGAGAAACATGCATCAAATACAGACTGAAAAATGCAGTTTTTGGCTGACTGGCTTATGGGTCACCTGTTCTTATCAGACGTGCTTTATTTATACTTGCAGCTTAGAGACGAAAAACTGAGTCAACTTAACTTTACAGACATGAGTTAATGATCAAAGGCAACGGTTTGCTAGCTGATTGTGAAGCTGTGGGTCCGCTTATAAACACAAGCTGAGCTGTCAAAAGGAAAAATCACAGTGTGAGTGTGAGAGCAGTCGGAATATAGAGTAACAGCACAAATGTAAATGTGCAATTACTCAGCAATTTATCATAAACAATTAAGCCAGACACATCGATATAATGTGTAGATTAAATTGCTGTGTAGTTTCCTACTAAAATGTGTAGTAAAAGTACAGTTTAGTACTTTGTTTAATGGGACTGAAAATTGTAGATACTACATAAATAGCACATACAGCAATCAAGCTTTAATACTCATAATAATTGCCTGATTTTACTGCTTGAGTACAATAAACCACATCATAATCATAATCAGCGAGTTAAATCAGACTCGCTGTGTAAACTGATAGATTGCCAGTGTCTAATGTTGGCTTTGGCCGGCGCTGCAGAAGATATATGTAACCAGGATTAAAGACTTTATTAACAGTTTCAGACCTCTCGAGGTTAACACAGTTTTGAGTGCTGTGCTAAAAGAGCACAATGGCTGAACAGACAATCATCTGCCCAGCACTGCATTCCCGCCATGGCAGATAAATGTCAGCAGAGGACAAAGACTGCAGGGATTTCTATCCTCTGCATATAGTCAACCGCAGACTACTATTATTATTGTGTGGATGCTTTAAGCATCCACACTATTGAGTTCCTGTTTCTCTTTATTCTTTATTATTATTGTGTGGATGCTTTAAGCATCCACACTATTGAGTTCCTGTTTCTCTTTATTCTTTATTATTATTATTATTATTATTGTGTGGATGCTTTAAGCATCCACACTATTGAGTTCCTGTTTCTCTTTATTCTTTATACTTTATTATTATTCTAGTTGCTTCCGTACACTTTTTGGCACTTAACTACTTCCACAATTTTCAGCCGATTTTCACCGTTCAAATTTTAAACTATTCTGCTATTTTTGCTCTTTCTTGCTATGATTTTTGCTATTTTTAACTATTATACTTTTTAAAATATTCCACTTTTTTCCTTTAATTTGTCCCATTGAAATGAATGGGAAACTTCTGCAATTCTGCTAAAATTTGCTTGTTTTTGAAACTTAACTACTTCCTCATATTTTCACCTAGAACAACCATTCAAACTTTAAAATGTTCATAAATTATTGGGCTATTCAGGTATGATTCAGCTTTTTGAAATCTTTTACTCTTTTACTTTTATGCCTCTTAAAGTTTTGAGTTGCAAAATTGTGATTTTTCACAAAATACATGCGTTGTTATGGTTGCTATGCTCTTGGCTTCCAGTGTGTCACTGAAGCTTTTGCAGTCTTCTCTTCATGTCCGAACAACTGTTTGCTACTTGCTCAATTTTCACTCAACCTCCACAAATTATACATCAAAACGTAGGTATTTTTGCTGGCTTTCAGGAAATGTCACTATCATTGTTGTGGGATTTATAGAATTTTTGCAAATCTCCTCAGACCAACACAATGTCAGAAAACTCTCCATATAAAGTCAATGGAGAGCTTGTTCAAAATCACTGCTGGATTTCTGTAATGAGAGGCATATTCGAATCGTCATATCTCCTTAACGAAGCAAAGTTAAGACATGAGGCTTGTCCCCGAATATCTTCAGACACCCCTGACGCTCACAATTCAAGAATTTCTTTCTCACCTATTACCGTTCTGAAATGAGTTGGACTTGTTTGAGGGTAGGAAATTCGTCCTTCGCTCAGATTTCTTCAGATTTCAAACTGTGGAAATGAACCACTTTTTTCTCTCGTCATAACTTTTTGTTGGATTTCCACAGAGACCTGAAAATTTCTATGACTGTTCACCAAAGCCTGCTGTCTCTTACGGTGAAAGAATGATATCGATACTCCAAATAGATTTAGAGTTAGAAAGCGTTGTTTGAGGGCAAGTCAAGGCAGTTTTTGCTTCGCTCTGCTCAGTTATGGTGCATTAGAAGTCTAATATCTTTAATAATTCATATTTTAATGATAAATTGTTAACACTGGAAGATTCCCCCATCTCTTCTGAACAAAACGGTGTAAGAATGACCGCTCTAGCCCCTACGGTTTGGAAATTATGGTCATTTGTTTGAGGGGAGTCCTCACTATGAGAAATAGGCTGCAATAATCCTGTGCCTCTCTGTCCTGCGTGTGTAAAAAGATGCACCTGTTTTGGCGGGAAAACGTAAACAGCCACTCTGATTGGTGGATTTAAATTCGGCAGCTCTCTCCCTCTGTGTGTGTGTGTGTGTGTGTGTGTGTGTGTGTGTGTGTGTGTGTGTGTGTGTGTGTGTGTGTGTTTAGTGGGAGAGAGAGGACCCTGCCCTTATTTGACAGCATGTCATTGTAGGATTTAAATTGAACATAGTTAGACTGGTTGACTGGATTAGAGCCTGTGTTTGTGTGTCCCTCTGTGCATTTGTGTTTCAATAAGTTATTACTATTCTGCTAAATCATAGTATTTCTGGTACTTTTCGGTACTTGTGCTAAATACAGTATTTCTGCTAAATCATACTATTTCTGCTTTTCATAGGATTTATGCCTAATATAGTATTTCTGCTAAATTATAGTATTTCTGCTATTTTATAGGATTTGTGCCTAACGTAGTATTTCTGCTAAATTATAGTATTTCTGCTTTTTATAGGATTTGTGCCTAACATAGTATTTCTGCTAAATTATAGTATTTCTGCTTTTTATACTATTTGTTCTAAATTATAGTATTTCTGCTTTTTATAGGATTTGTGCTTAATATAGTATTTCTGCTAAATTATAGTTTTTCTTCTTTTTATAGTATTTGTGCTAAAACATAGTATTTCTACTAAATGCAGTATTTATGCTTAATAATAGTATTTCTATATATTTCTGCCAGGTCCCCAGGCAGCCAATCCTCTGTGAGGACTGAGACATTCAAATTTTCAAATCAGGGCCTGCACAGTTTCCCAGCCAATCAAATAAGTGTCCTGAGGCATTCAAATTTGCATATTGGGGCCTTCGTGGCTTCTAAGCCAGCCAATCATATCTGAGGGCTGAGGAATTCAAATCCACAAATCAGGGCCTGCACGGCTTCCCAGCCAGCCAATCACATATGTGGTCTCAGGCATTCAAATTTGCATATTGGGGAATTCGTGGCTTCTAAGTCAACAAGTCATCCATGTCATATATCTCTAAAAATTCATATTTTAATATTAAATTGTCAACACTTGAAGATTCCCCATCTCTTCTGAACAAAACGGTGTAAGAATGACCGTTCTAGCCCCTACGGTTAGGAAATTACGGTCATTTGTTTGAGGGGAGTCGTCACTATGAGAAATAGACTGCAAAAATCCTGTGTCTCTCTGTGCTGCTGCGTGTGTAAACAGATGCACCTGTTTTGGTGGGGAAAAGTGCACAGCCTCTCTGACTGGTGGATTCAAATTCACCAGCTCCCAGGCTGACCTAGAAACTTACTTCTCTCTCCCTGTGTGTGTGTGTGTGTGTGTGTGTGTGTGTGTGTGTGTGTGTGTGTGTGTGTGTGTGTGTGTGACAGAGAGAGAGAGAGAGAGAGAGAAAGGCTTTTAATGGGATGATCTCATTCTAAGATTTAAATTCAATATATTTAGACTGGTTGACTGAATTGGATCTTGTGTGTGGGTCTCTCTGTGCATGTGTGTTTCCTCATGTGTACATATTTGTGATTGTGTGGCTGTAATACATTTTTTTGCAGATTTTTGTCATTTAACAAGTATATTTGAGGGACCCTCAGCATGTTTAGCATTTTTTCAGCTGTCCATTTTGCTTTTCCAATTTTTCTGTTTAACTTATTACTATTGTGCTAAATCATACTGTTTCTGCTATTTTATAAGATTTGTGCTTAATATACTATTTCTGCTTTTATAGGATTTGTGCTTAATATAGTATTTCTGCTAAATGTAGTATTTATGCTTAATCATACTATTTCTGCTTTTCATAGTATTTGTGCTTAATATAGTATTTCTGCTAAATTTAGTATTTCTGATTAATTATAGTTTTTCTACTAAATCATAGTACAGTATTTCTGCTTTTTATGGGATTTGTGCTAAAACAAAGTATTTCTACTAAATGTAGTATTTGTGCTTAATCATACCATTTCTGCTTTTTATAGGATTTGTGCTTAATATAGTATTTCTGCTAAATTATAGTATTTCTGCCAAATTATAATATTTGTGCTAAAACATAGTCTCAATTTAAAATTACAATATTCATAGTTCATCACAGTGTCTCT